CTTAGTTTTACTTCCACATCACTGACTATGTGATTTTAGTTCTACAACATACTGTGTATTTTTTGTTGTTGTTTTGGCAAGAACACTTCACATGAGATCTACCCACTTAAATTTTTCAGTGTATCATATAGTACTGTTAATTACTGTTTCTTAATGGATAAAAATCTGGCCATTACAAGTTTAGTTTATCTTTTAGCTGTTTCTCTTGTTTTAGGACCTTTGCTGAGATATGATTAATAATCCTGCAATTCTCCCACTTAAAGTGTGTAATTCTGTGATTTTTAGTATAATCACAAGTATGTACAATCATCACCACAGTCAATTTTAGAACATTTTCATTGTCTCAAAAAACAAACAACAACAACAACAACAACAGCAACAAAAAACCCAAAAAACCTCCATACCCTTTAGCAACCGCCCGTAAACCTCCGTCTCCCTCCCTCAGCACCAAGCAACCATTCATTACTCTATCACCTATATTTCTTGATTTGGCTCTTCTACATATTTCATATAAATGGAATAATACAGTATGTAGTCTTTTGTGATTTTCTTTCACTTAACATAATGTTTTCAAGGTTCATCCATGTTGGAGCATGTTTAGTACTTTGTACCTTTTTATGGTATGAATAATATTCATATAACTGAATGATACTCACGCATGGATATCAGACATTTTACTTATGCATTTATGAGGTGATAGACATTTGGACTATTTCCATTTTGGGACTGTTGTGAATAATGCTGCTGTAAACATCTGTATACAAGTTTTCATATGGGCATGCATTTTTTTAGTTTTTCTTGGGTATATACACAGAAGTAGAATTACAGAGCTATATATAACTCTGTTTAACCATATGAGGAACTGTGAAACTGTTTCTCAAAGTGGCTGTATCATTTTATATTCCCACCAGTAGAGTGTTGGTGTTCCGATTTCTCCCCATCCTCAGTCTTTTTGATTATAGCCATCCTAGTGGGTGTGAAGAGATAGCTCATGGTGGTTTTGATTTGCATTTCCCTGATGACTTGTGATGTCTTTTCATTTATTTTGTTGGCCATTTGTATCTCTTTTTTTTCAGAAATGTTTGAGTCTTTTATCCATTTTTTTTAAATTGGGTTGTCTTTATATTGTTGGGTTGTAAGATTGTATATATATTCTGGATACTAGGCCTTATCAGATATATGACTTGCAAATATTTTCTGTCATTCTGCAGGTTTCGTGGGTTTCTTTCACTTTCTGGATAGTGTACTTTGTTGCACAAAAAAGTTTTAATTTCGATGAAGTTCAATTTATTTATTTATTTATTTTTGGTTGCCTTAACTTTGAGTATCATATTTAAGAATCCATTTTCAAATCAAAAGTCATGACAATTAATCCTATGTTTTCTTCTAAGTGTTTCATAGTTTTAGCTCTTAAATTCAAGTCTTTGATCCATTTTGAATTAATTTTTATATATAGTATGAGGTAGGAGTCCAACTTTATTCTTCTGAATGTGGAAGCCCAGGTGTTGTAGCACCATTTACTTAAGAGACTATGTTCTTTCTCTATGGAATAGACTTGGCACCCTTGCTGAAATCAATTGACAAAAGCATATGAATTTCTTCCTGGACATTCTTTAATCCCATGTCTGTCCTTCTGTCAATACTACACTATCTTGATTATAGTAGGCTTCTAGTGTATTTTGAAATTAGGAAGTTTGAGTCCTCCAACTTTTCCTTTTTTTAGATTGTTTGGTCATTTCGAGTGCTTGAAATTTCATGTGAATCTTAGAATCAACTTTTCCGTCTCTATAGAAATGGTTTTGGGGATTTTGCCAGAGATTGTACTGAATCTGTAGATTGTTTGGAGGAAAACTACTGTCTTAATAATATTAAGATTTCCAATCCATAAACATGGGATGCCTTTATATTTATTCAGATTTTCTTTAATTTCTTTCAACACTATTTTGTAGTTTTCATTGTACTAGTCTTGCACCTCCTTGGTTAAATTTATTCCTAAGTACTTATTCTTTATGATGCTAATATATGTGGAATATCTTAATTTTATTCTTGTATTGCAAGCATATAGATATACAAATGATTTTTTTTGTATATTGATTTTGTACTTGGAAACTTGCTGAACACATTTATTACCTATGATTGAATTTTAATAGATACCTTAGAATTTTCTGTATATAACATCATGTTCTCTGTAAACAGAAACATTTTGGATATGGATACCTTATTTTTTTCTAGCCTTGGCTAGAGGCCCCAGTGCTCTGTTGAATAGAGGTGGTGAGAGTTGACTTCCTTGTCTTGTTCCTGATCTTAAGAAGGGTATTGGATTCTTTTAATCATCTCTAATCATATCCATTTTAATTTAAATATCTTACATAAAAAAGTGATTGGGTAAGTTGTATGAAGTCAGCTTTCTTATAATCTGATCTTTTACTTCTTATAGAAACCATATTTAAGAAAAAATTATTTTGATTCCAAAACAGATGCTTTGATCTTTTCCTATTACTTCTTCCACTAACAATTTAATCAGTCAAAACGATGCTTTTCCTTTATATCTTAAATGTTATGGTTCCTTTTTTAAAAATATGTATACTGGCTCTTTTTATTTCTCTCTATCTTTGAGCAAGGAGAGGTCTGTTTTTCAGTATTTGAGGTCTTGACTGTTCTGCTTCCCACCTCACTAGCTGTTAGATTCCTCCTCTTGGTCTTGATCTAAAGGGGTGATTATAGTGCAGAGACCCTTGTCAAAGTTCTTTGCTCAGCACTCACTCATTTAATGTGCCACAGGGTTAAGTAGGGGTCTTCTGCTTCTCATGGTGGGTTATATGACTGTAGGGCTGTGGATTTAACTCCGAAAACTTCGGACATGTTTGTGGATTTTCCCCAAGGTGACCCCTACTAGAACACAACTCTAGTGGCTCTTCCCATTGCTGCTGTCCCCTCCCAGGATTCAGCACCCTGGTGACGTTTGCTGTGCCACTGCTGAGTCCAAATAGGGTCTTAGAATGGGGGGAGATTAAGAAGTGCAGATTCAGGGGGGTGCCTGGGTGGCTCAGTCAGTTAAGCACCCAACTTCAGCTCAGGTCATGATTTCGTGGTTCGTGGGTTCGAGCCCAACACTGGGCTCTGTGCTGACAGCTCAGAGCCCGGAGCTTGTTTCATATTTTGTGTCTCCCTCTCTCTCTGCCCCTCCCCCACTCATGTTCTGTCTCTCTCTCTGTCAAAAATAAATAAACATTAAAAAAAATAAAAAAAAAAAAAGAAGTGCAGATTCAGGGATGATGTAAACAGCCTTGGTTTGCCTACCTCTCACCTCAAGTGTAAACGATTTTTAAAAGGGAAGGTTGAGGATGAGCTGACTGTCCCTCTCACCAGCAAAAGCTGCAAGTCTCTGATATTAGGCCAGAAGTATTTATCAGGGCTTCCGGTGCACCAAGCACTTTTCTATGTGCCTCACATGTATTAGTTATATTATCCTCATAACCACTCCATTATTACATTTCATAGATCATGAAACTGAAGAACAAAAATGACAAATAACTTTCCAGGGTCACGCAGCTACTAAGTGGTGAAGCCCAGCATTAAACCCACTGCCTGGCTCTTATCTCTTGACCACACCAGCAACATTTCCTCCTGTACCTGCCCTGGTTCTGCTTCTGTGTCCCCGGGGCCCATCTAAGCTTTAGTAGAGGATACATTCATTCTCTTCAGGGTCTGACTCCTTCTGAGTAACATTCCTAGTTTCCTTTGCTGTTAGAATTTTCTATCACTTTGGGTGTTTTGCAAGTATTTCAGTAAGGAAAGTGAATCTTGCCCGGTGAACGGCTATCATCTGAACTCAGAAGTCCTCATGGAATTTTTTGCATATGTGCTTGACCCTAATGTCTGTGCTTATTTTATGGATGAGAAAATCAAAGCCTAGAATGGTTAGTCCACCTCCCCCAAGCCATAGAACTAGTGATGGCCAAGCAGGATGGGAAGTTGTCCTTCCCTGGCTTGTTCCCCACTGTGTTTTGCCAGTAAACCAAGAAATCACTGAAATGAAATTTAGCTATCTTTCCTAACCCACTTTCAAAGGTCCACATGCCCTCAGAAGACACAGGCAAACTTTGCTTTGATTTCACTTCAGCCTGCTTGATTTCTTCTTATCTTGGAAAATGGAATGCAGACCCTCACCTGAGACTTTTCTCAAATTAGGCTGGGTGACGTATGTCTTTTTGAGCTCTTTTATTTGACCCCCTATTAATGTTTTTAAACCCTAATTGTTTTGTTCCTGACAGACCTGTTATGTTTCAGGTGTGAGAGAAATGTACACATAGAAGGAAACTTCTGTCATATTCTGTATTTGCCTCAGACTATTGAGATTATTAAAAACAAAACAAAACAACCAAAGTGCACACACGAGGGCATCTTCCTCCTTGCAATTTTATCTGGCATATTTAATTGATAGAGACTTCTGGGTTAGATTATTATCAAAGGTTGTAGTAAATTGTTGAGCGTGTGGCCTTAATGATGCTCTCGGCATCTCCTTCCAACACACAAAGAAGTTTTGCCACATTGGGGAAGGCGGCTTCCTGGCATAGGGTGACAGGACCTCGGAGGAGTCCTCCTTGGGTTAGCAGCCTGTGCAAGCTGCATTTGTGTCCCAGGTCCAAAGTCCCTTAGTAGACACGTGGGACTTGAGGAAGGGGAAGCAGTATTTGCATCCCTACTGACACCAATTATGGTAAACACCAACTATTTAGACATCAGCCCTTTAATAAAAGTTCCCTGAAGTGGTTTTTGAAAGTCAAGCTCTCATGGCAGAACCAAGTAAGAGAGAAAAGAATGGAATAATTGGAGGCTGCTGTCTTTTCACTTCCCACATAAAATTATTTGAAGAGACAGGCCAGAACTTTAAACAGGAGATACCAAGAAAAGTTGTAATTTGGATGTCTGTTGTCGTGACTTTAGGGTGTTTGCTTAAAGGAATTTTTTTCTCCCCTACCCCCCAACTCTCTCCCCAGACATACTTCAATGACAATATCCTTACACTAATCCGGACGCTGGTGACTGGAGGAGCCACGCCAGAGCTCGAGGCTCTGATTGCCGAGGAGAATGCACTTCGAGGGGGCTATAGCACCCCCCAGACACTGGCCAACAGGGACCGTTGCCGCGTGGCCCAGTTAGCGCTGCTGGATGGGCCCTTTGCGGACCTGGGGGTGAGTTCATGGTGCAGAGGTCACCTGAGCCCACTGACTGGGAATAGCTTGGCCAGAGTGAACTGGGTGCCAGGGTGAGGAGCCAGGCACCTGTCTTTTCTGTCTTCTGTGGTGATTCACTAGAGGTGATGTGTATGGTGTGCTGTGTTTTACATGCAGTCCTTCATCTTTATTCCCACGGCAATCCTTTGACATAGGTTCTACTCTCAGACATTCTAAGGAAACTGAGGCTCAGAGAGACGGAAGACTGGCCCTATCAGGAATTTGCACCAGGAACCCTGGCTTCAGAGCCTGTGGGCTTTACTCACTCCCCTAGGTATCTTCTACCACGAGCTAGGAGGCATCAGGTGATTCCAGCATGTGACCGAGGCTGGGACCCCTTTCCACAGGGTGTTAGCCTACCTCAGGGCCACTTCACTCCCAAGGCACATTAATAGCCCATGAGGAGCTTTTCAAAACCACTGACGGCCATGTCCAGTTCCCAGGATTCTGAGTTTTTGTATCTGGGTGTATGCCAGGCATTGGAGGTTTTTAAAACACCACCAGTAATTATGTGCATCTCGAGCCACTGACCAAACAAATGGCATCTCATGTGGACCATTTAATGTCTCTAATTCCAGACCTAGGTCTTTGCATCTCTGAGGCTGCACCCAGTTAATCTCCCCCACGCCCTCCCTGCCGCAGAGGGGATGACCAGTGCCTCCCTTTGGGCTCCACACACCAACTGGGTTCTCACACTTGGGCAGAAGTATGCAGTCTTGACCCTTATTCACAGCCCTATACCGCATCCACGGATGGGTTCAAGGAGTGGAGCCACAAGTCTTGGCAACCAATGCATTTATTGCACAAACAATACCGTCGCCCAAGGAAAGGGTCACTTTTTCTATTTCTTCTGAAACTATGATGCTGACTTGCACCATATTTTAGTATGGTTATGGATAAGGACCTATGTTAGACTGGGCTTTTTGGAAAGGCAGCTTCCGTAGCTCATGGCTCCTTTCATCTATCACCGACTTACTGATACACTTTAAAAGGATAAAGACTTTAAGTGACGGTAAGATATGGCCCCATTTGTGTTCTGTAATATGATGCCCATTTGGAAATTCCAACGACAAGAAGGACAAAGGCAGCCACTTTATTCCCAGCGATGTCATTCTTCAGTGCCCTTCCTACACTCACACCCACCTGAAGCCACCTGGCTGTGTGAAGCCAGCATTTCCAAGTGAGTGGAGTTGCTTTCACATTCCACGTCGGGCCCCAGACCCTCTGGGAGGTGACTGTGAACTGATTAGGACTGTGAATCCCACTTATTCAACCTGCAGCTCTCCACCTCCTGGGGAAACACATTCTCTTCCACCCGCGCCATCTCTGAGGTCTGTAAATTGTGCTTTTCACACAGTCTTTTCCCTGAAAGAGTCTTTCACCGTAGCACCTGGTGGGGTCTTTTCTCCTCGCAGTGATTTTAATTATCACTCGAGCAGTTTTGACAACACGGTCAGATCACAGTGATTACAGCTGAGCTGGGACTAAACATAATCGCCATTTTGCCCAGCTGGTTTCTTCTCTGCCAAACATGCATCTGAGAGCTTTGAGCCTTACACAATCACTTAGAATGAGGGAGAGGCCCATTCTCTCTAGGGCTCTCACTGCTACAGATGGAAAACTGGAGAGAACTGGAGGAGAACCCCATCATTATCTGATCCCCCAAAATTACCAGTATTGGATGTAGGCTCTTAATCACATTGACTTCTTTAGCCTCAGTCCCTTGGGACAGACCCTCCAACTCAGGAGACACCAACACAAGCTTTCACGAAAAGGCTCTGTTCCCCCTGGACCTCTACTTCCAGGCAAATGAAAATGTTTCTTTCTGTTCTTTTCTTGTCTCCCAGGATGGTGGTTGTTATGGTGATCTGTTCTGCAAAGCTCTGAAAACGTATAATATGCTTTGTTTTGGAATTTACCGGCTGAGAGATGCTCACCTCAGCACCCCCAGCCAATGCACGAAGAGGTGAGTATATTTCCACTCTCCTCTCCCACCCCGAATGCAGAGACAGAAATGCCCTGTCTTGTTTCCCACTGTGAAGGCAAAGGTCCAAGTACATGCTCTCAACATGCAAATGACTCTGCCCGCATTAAATCCAACACTGGGTTTGGAGGTTATGGGAGGCTTTTTTCTTTAATTCCTCATAGCAGATTTAAAGACATTATGGGAAGAATTCAAGTTTTATAGAATAGTTCCTGAATAGGAGCATCTCCTCCAAACTCTAGCTACTGGGATTATTCTGCCAGTACCTCATATAGAGATATTTCATATTGCTAGTGTTTAAGATAGATGTTTCCTTTGCCATATCTTAGATGCCTCTGCTTTTACTTAATATATTTTTAATTGACTCACTTTTTAAACTTTTATATATTTATTTCAAGAAATTTGTGTGTTATCACCTTAAGCAGAAAAATATAATAGTTTATGTGTGTTAGTTATATATTTTTAATTGCACTAAAATAAATTCATAGCAGCCCCAAATTAAAAGTATATCATAGAATTACCCAAATCTGTGCATTTGCATACTATATCTCAAGAAACAATGCTACAGAGATTAGTATTTCTCAGCTTTGCTTGCACATTAGAATCACCAGGGGTGCTTTTTAAAAATATTCTGCTTTCCCTGATTTATCTGGTCTGGCTTGAAAGTGTAGATAATTTCTTAGTGCCCAGAGATTACAGTATATAGCCAGAGTTGCGGCTAATTGCTGTAGACTAGTGAGTTCTCAAAGTTTAGAGAGCAACAGAATCGCCTACAAAGCTTGTTGAAACACAAATTGCTAGACCCCACTCCCCAGAATGTCTGACTCTGTAGGTCTGGAGAGAAATTCTTGCTTAAGAATTTGCATTTTAGGGACACCAGGGTAGCTCAGTTGTTTGAGAATCCAGCTCTTGATTTCAACTCAGGTCATGATCCCAGAGTCATGGATCAAGCCCTGTGATGGGCTCCATACTGAGTGTGGAACCTGTTTATGATTCTCTCGATTTCTGACTGGTGTGAGGTGGTATCTGAATGTAGTTGTGATTTGTATTTCCCTGATGATGAACGATGCTGAGCATGTTTTCATGTGTCTGTACAAACGCAGAGGGAAGCAAACCATGAGAGACTCTTAAACACAGAGAGTAAACTGAGGCTTGATGGGGGTTGGGGGGTGGGAAAAATGGGTGATGGGCACTGAGGAGGGCGCTAGTTGGGATGAGCACTGGGTGTTGTATATAAGTGATGTATCACGGGAATCTATGCACACTGTATACACTGTATGTTAGCTCACTTGAGAATAAATTATATAATCTTAAGAAAATAATTTTAAAAATTAAAAATTAAATTAAAAAAGATTATATCTCCCTCTGCCCTTCCCCGTCTCCCTCTCAAAAAAAATAAATAAAAGAAGTTGCATTTTATTTATTTTCGAATGTTTATTTGTTTTGATAGAGAGCATGCACAAGCAGGGGAAGGGCAGAAAGAGAGGGAGAGAGAGAGAGAGAGAGAATCCCAACGAGGCCCTGCACTGTCAGCACAGAGCCCGACACAGGGCCAGAACTCGCAAACTGGGAGATCATGGCCGGAGCTTAAATCAGGAGTTGGACACTTAGCCCACTGAGCCATCCATGCACTCCCAAGAAAATGCATTTTAAGTGATGCCCCAGTGTTGCTGATATGTCTTGGCTTGAGGACCCACTTTGGGATCTCCTACTACTAGAGAGGAGGTGGTGGGGTTTTTTTGGTTGTTGTTTTGTTTTGTTTTGTTTTGTTTTGTTTTGTGTTAGCAGTGTCTGGTGTTAACCAGAGAAAGCTTGATGGGATTGAGAACAGTTAAAGCAGGACTAGCACAGAGGCAGGGAGGGATCTTATCTTCTCTCATTTAGAAAAAAATCCCCACCAAAACTGATTTTTAAAAGGTAAAGAGTGAGAAAAGGCTGAGAAGATGTTAGGTCATGGGAAACAAAGACCCTGTAAGGTGTGTCAGAACATTCTCTAGCAAAAGAGGCGGTGCAGTCAGTGAACCTCCTGCACGCATCTGGGCTACTCGGGATCAGAAGTGAACTCAAACTTCAGTGGAAAGGGGTGGGGACCATCAGAAGCACGGTGTGGTTCCCCCACCACAGGCACCAATTGAGCCTCTGGTGCCAGGGCTCACGGCTGGCCACCTGCGCTGAGCTGAAGAGAGGAAGAGCTAGTTCAGCTTGGAAGATAATATTTAAGGTCTTGGACCAGGTAGAAGCCTTCCAGATCCTCTGCAAGACCTGAGGATCCTTTTCGGTTCAATGAGAGGTGAAATACGCACCCAGTTGTCCTCATTCTGTGACCCCTTTGCTTCCCTGTCCAGGTACGTCATCACCAACCCCCCGTACGAGTTTGAGCTCGTGCCGACAGACCTGATCTTCTGCTTGATGCAGTTTGACCACAACGCCGGCCAGTCCCGGGCCAGCCTCTCCCATTCCTCCCACTCGTCCCAGTCATCCAGCAAGAAGAGCTCCTCTGTGCACTCCATCCCATCCACCGCAAACCGACCCAACCGACCCAAGTCCCGGGAGTCCCGAGACAAACAGAAGTACGTGCAGGAAGAGCGCCTCTGATATGTGTATCCACTGCCACCGTGTGTGAAACTGTATCTGCCACTCATTTCCCCAGTGGGTGTTTCCAACAGTAACTTCCCCCCTTTTCCCCTGTAGCCACCCCCTTTTTTTTACACATATTTGCATATGTATGATAGTGTGCATGTGGTTGCCATTTTTATTTCACCACCATAAAACCCTTGAGCACAACAGCAAATAAGCAGAAGGACCAAAAGTTATTTATGATTCTAGGGGAAAAATAACCCAAAGGCATGCTCCAGACATAAATAGCTCACTGCAGGAAGGAGTTCGCAGAGTAGAGGAGCGTCATTGTGATCCATGTCAGTTATGCAAAGCAAGTTTAGTTAATTTAGAAGAAAAGTTTGTTCTGATTGATCAGGATTATGAGGGTGCTTCGGGTTTTGATTTTGTTGTTTTCCTTTCTTTCTTTCTTCTTCTTTTTTAATACACACGCAATAATATACACATACACATTTCTTTGAAGCAAGCAACCAAAAAGCAACAAAAACACATCGATTGTTTCCACTCTCACTCTCTGGGCTGAAGTATCGCGAAGCATTTAAAAGGCTTTCGCCATTTGTGTAGACGATTATTAAGCATCTGCTTTTGTAAGAGAACATCCTAGCTTTTTTTACTCACCAAGGCCTTTCGTCCCAGATCTAGCTTCCTCTGGGAGTTCTTAGGCACATTTCTACCCTTACTATGGAGGAAAGAATCATATCCCATTCATGGATGTATCAAATTCTAGTCATCTAAGTGAACAGAGGTTTGATTGCATATTAAATTGTTATTCCGTCTCCTTATGCCATATGACTAGCTATTTTTTTTTCTTTCACTTTTGACATTTGGGATGAAAAGCCATATGTATCATAAATATCAGATGTAAGTCATTAAAAACTGCCTTCCTGGGACTTTTACATCTTTTAAAAGGTGAATTACTTACCTTATGTACAGAATAAATAATGCTCAGGAAAGAGCGAGTATTTTTCCATGCATTCTCAGGGGACCTTTTTACTCCCCTTTGTTTGATTAGCTAAGGCCCCAGTGCCAGGCAGGAGCAGGGGTTGGGGCCAAGCTAGAGTGTGAGGAAGATAAACCCAGCAGCAGATCATGTTTTTCTAGGAGCCAACATGCTAAATAAATCAGATTGTGGGGGGATCGAGCCACAGTTGACTCGACAGAGACAAAAGCTAGCTACTACTTCAAACTGTGGGCACAGCTGCATGGCGCTGGCTGTCCCAAAGCAGCAAGCTGGTGGGACAATTCCTCCTCCTCAACTTCTTGAACACAGCCAATTCGCTTAGGCAGGTGAATGACGGTAACAGCGAACCACTCCTTACCGTCATGAGACGGGGGAGAAGAAGTGTGCAACAGTGAGCCAAACACATTTTGGTATAATTCTTGTTTTTTTTTCTTTTGTTTTCTTTCTTTCCTTCCTTTTTGAACAGTTAGTAAAGCATGAGCTGAAAGGTAGAAAAATCCCTTTTTCAGCATACAGTCGTCAGATGTTTACGCATGCTGTAGGCGGTGCCGTAGTTCTTATGAATCGGCAAACTCCACCATAACCGAATTATCCTGTGTGTGGACTAGCCCTGGGCTGGCGTATACCTGTTTGAAGTGTCTACTTGAGCAGATTCCACCAAACAGAATAGGGGTGGAGGGGAGGAGAAATATGTCACGGTGGTACCATCTCTAAAAAGGTGTTTTTATGGTGAATGCTTTGAGTTTAGATTTCGGATCCCCTCTCTCCCCTAAGCATGATAGTTTTGGAGATTTGCTTGCTGTGTGAATTGACAAGCACTTTTACTGACAAAATGGTGAGGTTCAGTCTGCACCTGTGCCCCCACACCAAAGACAGGGCAGTATTCAGAACAGGAATGGGGTGGGGAAAAATTGTATACATGTATATTAAAAAGCCCTACGAGTGGAAGAATTTTTTTTCAAATTATTTTTGTCCCCATATATATCGATTTCTATATTACGTATAACTATCTATCCTTTTATATAGAACTATATCTGTATCTACATATATGTACACACACACACACATATACGTGTGTGTGTGTGTGTGTATATATATATACACACACGTATACCCCAGTTTGGGATCATGAAGAGCTTTTCATGCATTCTTTGCAAAGGAGGTTATAAAGTTGTGCCCATAGAACATTTATAACTATAAGAATGTGCCAGTTAAAGTGCTCAACAGGAAATATGACAGTTTAAAAGCATTGTAAAACTCACATAGCTTACTTCTCTCTCTAAAGTGCAACAAGGATGAATAGAATGGGCCAAGGTATGACAATTAATGGTTCTGCATGACCTAGCCACTGCTGGGGGTTTTCTTCTATAACGTTGTCCTTGTGAAAACTTTTGTGACATTAAAAAAAAAAGGAGTTACAAATTTTATTCTGTTATTGGTTTGTTTCTTTTTGTTTATATTGTTCTGTTTGTGGTTTTCTTTAGTTTGTTTTGCTTTTTTTTTTTTCCTCCTCCCCTTCCCCCTCCCTTTCCCTCCCTACTTCTCTTTCCTCCACTTTCTAAATTGCTCAGCGCAATGAGGCTGTGCTGCTGCTACCGCTAGATCCCTTAGAGTTTGTTTTGGTGTTCTTGGTTTTGGGGTTGGGTAATTTGGGGGGAACTTCTCTCCATCTGGCTTGCCTTCAAATCTGCACGTGGCCTCCCTGCCCACCTTGGTACCTTGCTCCAAGTCCAAAAGCCTTTTGCCATCAAGAAACCCAGCTTCCTCCACTTCCCCCCATTACCACTACCCCAACCCGGCCCCCCCATCAGTCTGTCCACATCTCTGTGTTTATCTTGGCAAGACCTACTACAAGTGTGATGCCAGGTGATAAACTTCGCTGGAAAACATTTGCAGCTATTCCATTTGGCAAACCTGCTTCTTGGTTAATATTTTGTCCCTCTTTTTAATTTAGACCAGGAGGTTCATTAATGACAGAACGTTGGTCTCCTTTATGTTTGATCAGGATGACCCCAAGTTAAAACTGTTCAGTTATGTTTATCAACTCATAGCCCACACCCAGTGATCTGAGGTTTCATGACTCAGTCTCTGTATTTTCCAGGTCTCTCCTGTCACCTGCCTTTGTTCAATCCCAACCAGAGATTGGGCAGATAGAGAGAAGTAAATCCAAAATGCGTGTTATATACAGTCTTGTTAGCAGCTCTGATGAGATGATGCTGTGACAGGAATGGAGTGGGAACAGACTATGACATGAGATGTAACTTTGGAATTCTCCCTGGACTTAGGGCACACACTTGAGAGTTGAATATAGTATTTGGCCAATGATATATTCAATGATTAAAAGGTATCATTGTGACCTCTATTCTGTTAGCTAAAACTACTGTATTATACTTTCCTCAACAGAACACAGAGTCTCCTCCATTGTTTTCCATGTCACCCCAAACTTCCCCATTCCCCCTCAGGTTCTCTTAGGAAGTACACAGGGTTCTCATATTATGTCTCTCCCTTTCCTGCTCCCCATAAAAAAAAAAAAAAAAGAATAGAAGAGGAAAGAAAAAGAGAAGAAAAGAAAGAAAAAGAAAGAAGTAGGTAAAGGTAGAAAGTAAAAGAATTATTTGAAGAGAAGGTCTATACATTTTAAAAGAGCAATAGCTAGAAACTCAATTATCTGTACCATTCTAGAAGAGAAGCAGTCTGTGAGCCATTCAGTCCAATTTGCTTTAGGCTTTGAAGGGCTGAACCTTAGGTGAGTGGGTAGACCGGGAGGTGCAGTGAAGCTTTCTCGGCCTCAATGTTCACCCAGATGATCATAAAATCATCAACACCCCTAAGGACTGCTACCCAGGGTCCTTCCTGAAGCCAGTTCAGATGTATAAAGGGAAAGATGGACCCATATACATAGAGTTCTACCACAACTGGAGAAGTATCAGATTCTGTTATGAATATTAAGGATTGTGACCCAGAACATTACAATAACGCTCAGTAATATTTTGAAATAAATTGACCTTAAATATTTTTATACCATTCATCATGTTATACATTATCTTTACTCCTTTAGCTTATCAAAAAAAAAAAAAAAACAGTGAATGCCTCTAGGTGCTTCCCGATGCTACTGTGCTGTTGGCACTTTCTTCTGAGAAGGGGAACACCCTTGTAAGTTCCATGAGACAGAACTGACTGTGCCTCCAGCCAGTACTGTCAAGATCTCAGATGACCAGAAAAACCTTAGACTGGCTCTTCTTCAGCATGGGAAAAGCCTAAAGGTGTCTGTATCCCAATAGGGACAATTAAATCGACCTGCCAGGTTCCTATAGCAACAGGATCCTATCCTTCAGGTTTTGGAAGGATAAAGAGGATAGTGTGGAAACTTGGGGGGCCACGGAAGTCAAGACAGGGTAAAAATCAGTGTCTCCAGCAGCTTCTTCAGCCCATCCCTGTTTTTTCATAACATGATGAAGAATAAGCTGTGGGCACTTATCACTAAATTGGTTGCCTGTCTCCCACCAGGAGATTACATATCTATTGCCTAGGGAGGTGAGGGGGCCTACCCCTTGCCATCCAAAAGGGAACAGTGAAGAGTCTGTCCTCGGGGTGCAGCTGAATCAAGGCCCCAGGAAAGGGCCAAAGGGGGAAGTTTGCTCTGCCCAGCGAATGGCAGCATCAGACTTTCAGTGAAAAGAGGAAACTAGAGCCATGGCGGACAATTGCAAATGACAGTTTTCATAAATGGAAGCTGCCTTGGTTTGGGTACAAATGACTTTCATTTCTATGAAATAGCCATACTTTGCCCATGGAGAGGAAAGAAGGCAGTATGCATGGGTGGGTCCACTGTGGGCCTCAGGGTCTGCCAGGCAGAGGGCAAAAGCCAGCCTGCCTCCGGAAAGGTGAGCCGTGAAACCATACAGCGTTACCTTTGAAGGCGTCAGCTCCTGGTTAGGGCTTACTGTTCTCAGCTGTTGTCTCTACCCAAACAGCCTTTTTCTTTCAAGCCCTCTCTCTCTAAACCTCAGCTTGTGGTACAGCGAGAAGAGGACCAGTTATTTTAAATACGTTTGCTGTATTATCATCTCTCCTTTCGTGTACTCTTCTCTGGGGAGTAGTTATGTGAAAAGGCTAAATCCCACAGCACTGACAACCCACAGAGACAGCGAGGCTCAGTTTTCATAGTGCAGCCTATTTCTCTGCTTGCAGGCATCCAGGCAGTCAGGTCCGCCCAGCTCTGGTGTTCTTTCCCACCCATAGCCCACTCCTCCAAGCTCCTTATGGCTTGGGGAAGTCCTCACTCATATCCTGGACCCTTCTGTCTCAGTGATGAAAATAGCAATGGAAGACGCAGATGGTTCATGGATGGGATAGGGCACCTGTTGAGTATAAAGCCATTATTTCAAGGATACAGGTCCCACAGCAGGGTAGCATCCTTGAACCCCCCAGAAAGAACACTGGGTCACTCCTTCCTCTCCTTACCTTCCAAATGAAGGTAGCCCAAATGAATCCTCCTCTGTCATCTCTGCTGCCAAAATCCCCATTCTGTGGGCCAGCACCCCAATTTACGTTCCCTAGTTCTCCATCCCTGGTTCATTTGCAGCCACACTGAAAAGTACCGCCCATCCTTACGTAACCCTTTAGTACTGAGAATATTCACGATAATGCTAACGTGTAACATAACCTTATGTGACAAGCTGACTGACACCTTAGTGCTTACTCGGTGCCAGATACTTTTCTAAGCACTTTACATACATTAACTCATTCAATCCTCACACAAGCTCAGATGTACATGTGGTTAGCATCTCTGTTTGAAGGATGCAGAATCTGAAAGATTTGTTCAAAGGCATCCAGCCAGAAAGTGGCAGAGTGGAATTTAAAGCTGGGCTATGAACTCTGCCACTATGCTGTGATGTGGCTACTATTACTAACAGACGTACGTGTTCACGTTTATTTACCGTATCTGGACCTGCAGTAAGTGCTTCACCAGCACCAGCCCCTTTCATCCAGACCACATTAGGAAGATTTGATCACTAGCCCATTTTACAGAAGAGAAACTAGCAGAGATCAATTACATAGTGACTTTCTTGGAGCCATGCAACTACTGTGTGAGACCCCAGATCCATTTAGACTTCCCCACTGCCCCACGCCATCTCCTTAGCCCACACCTCATCACTGGTCCATGGTGGATAGCTCATGGCGTGGCTGGTCTTGATAGGTGCCTTCTCCCGATGGTAGTGCCAAGTCTTTTAGAGGCATCTCTTCTGCAGTCACTATGTTGTTCTAGCCCACTTGCCAGAGCCTAAAATGTCTTCCTTTCCTGATCTGGGCAGGTCACGCACTGTACTTGCAGTGATGACGTCATGCTTTGCATCCTCGAGAGACTTAACAAATAGGGCTGGTTTTTTGTTTTTGGTTTTGTTTTTTCTGACAGTGAGGAGCTCCTTGCAGCTAGATCCATTGCCCCTCCCATTTTAGGAACAAAAATGAAGCTCCCGGAAATCTTTTTGGCATAGGGGATGAGGCAGGGAGAGGAGATAAACCCAGGGATTTGGATTTATCCTGGACCACTTCAGCACCCATTTAAATCCTTTCCCTGAGTATTCTTCCTATAGCCAATGTTGTAGCTTCCCATTGGCACAGTTTCTTCTTTGGAAGATGAGATTCAGTGAACCAAAGTGTCGTCATCATGCTCAACGCACTCTCTGTTGAAGAAAACGACTGGCGATCAGTTAAGTGTGTGTTCCTCTGATGCCCTGTGGGAGAATCTTTTCATGAAATACCTTTGCCCCTGGATATTTTACTAGAATGCTCAGAGCATTGATATATTTCCATTTCCTCAACATCCTATCCAACCAAGTCTCCAACAACATATATGTTTATATCTTACAAGGTACCCAAATTAAAAAGCATGTTTCTCAGGCATAACAAAAACCTCAACTCATCACCAGGATGCACTTTAACACAAGTCATTCTTGTGTGGAAGTTCAGTGGCCAAAACACAGGGGCTACTCTTCTTAGATTTTCTTTTATGGAGAGAAATTTAGAAAGAAAGAGAATGAAGCTTAAATGGGGAAATAATGCTCTCTATCTTACCGACAGCAGAAGGAAATTGATATTCTCTCTGCCGTGAAAGGTCAAAATGCCAACTTTGAATTGAACTGTAAAGACTAAATTCTGAACAATTATTCTCTGCAGCAGTTGTAAAAATTTCAGTAAATTGCAGCTGTCTTAGGTCTTTCGCCCAAAAGACCTACTCGTTTCCATCAACAGAGTTCAGTCTCCTTTCCAACCTGGCATGTCCAACCCAGCACTAAATCCCTTTGCAAAATCAGTCCACACAGTGGCACAGCCAAAACCAAGGGCAGCTCAGGCAAACAGCACAGGCGCTAGGTTCAGCTCTTCTGAAAATCATCTTTATACATAAACCGTTGGAAAAAGTCGTAGTTTGAAATTGTTTCAGCGGCCTGGCAATGCTTTTAAAACATGATAACCATCACACTTTACTCCTCTCTGAAAGGTTAGTTTAATCGTAGATCACAAAAAATTGGTTTCCACAAATGCATAATGGTTCATCTATGTCACACTTGAACTAAATGGTTTTTTAAATGGAGCTGAAATTATTTTGATGTGTACACAGTCCTGGATTTCTATACAACCTTTTTTAACCAGTCCATCAGGAACCTTGCCTCTAAAGCCTCATTAATAATTCAGATGTGCTGATGACTTTAAAAGATCTATGGAATTGAAGCTTAGGAAAAAAAAAAAAAACTCTGCTTGACAAAAAGATAAATGAATGTAGAAAGAAGCTGTAGGAGTCTGGCAAGCTGTAGATCATCTCAGAACAGATTGTAACTTTATCATTCTGTCAGGGGGAATAATTTAAAGCACTTAATCAGTTAGCTTCACTGTGAGGATGTAGCATTATGAATTCCTATCGTCCAATCTGTTCAAATCAAAGTGAACTTAATTATAATAGGTGAGAGAGCCAGAGCGGGAGAAAGGGGAGTGGAGAATGATCCAAGAGAGAGACAGTAGTTTCCTGGGGGTAAACTGAGCTGCTGAACAAAGGGTAGTGAGCAAGCTCTCACTAACCCACTCCAGTGACAGTGTTTACATTGAGGGCTCAGACTTGACACAGCAAGAGAAAGTATAGATCAAGGAGAAATAAGCAGAGCGATCGTGAGCTGATCACAGATGCTGAATTTGTAGATCATTAGCCCATCCGACAGACGCACATGCACACACATACTCACACTTCTCTATCAAGCCAGGTGAGCAATTTTTGTTACGTATCAGTCCAGAACCATGAACAGGGCAGTTGTGAATTGTTCTGATAGGTAGAAGAGAAGCCATCGTCTCTAGAGCAGTGGATGTGCCTGAAAGCTTTTTCCTTTTTTCTTTTCTTTTCCTAAGCCACTAACTAATATGATTCCCAAATTAGAATGTCTTATTTGCCCGGTCTCTTCATATCTGTACACATAGCCGATTATGCAGAAAGTTTCAAATCCTAGAAAAAGGCGGGGGCAAGGCCTGAATCCTGTAAAATACCACTGAAGTGCCACGAGGATACTAGGCCATTTTCTTCCTCTCCCCAGCCCCCGAACGCTCTGACTCAGCGTTCTCCCCCAGCCATCTCTGTGTTTAGGGTGGAAATGAAATGCCAAGGTGTCGTCAAGCTCCCTTGTCAACAGCTTGGATTATTATAGTTGGTTAAGATATTGCCAGTAGGAATTCTTTTCATGACTGTATACCAACACAGAGCTTTCTTTCTTGAAATAAAAAGCCATCTCAAAACCGTCTTAAAACATTGGTCACCATTCTGATTTTCAGTCTCATTACCCAGCAAAATCTGTGGGCTTCCTTTAAGACCCTCAAAACTGGCTGCAAAAAAAAAAAAAAAAAAAAAAATAAGAAGAGTGGTATATTGAGATATAACTTCAAGTATGTCTCGTACAAACAAAGCTAAGTACAGGTTGGGAAGAGGAGATCCTGCATAAGGTTCCAGATCACTGGCTCTGTGTCAACTTCCTTCATGTTTCACTCAAATCAGTGAACACACAAATCTTTCCTCAGGCACAGTGTTTATGCCCAATATTTGATATATTCAGCATCTCCTTCCCACCAAAGATTCCCAGTCCACTAAAGGAACCCCAGAGAACATTGCTGGAGTTCCTCTTCCAACCCCTCTTTGTTCTCAGAGGTCCTACCCATGGTCCTTGCAAGTCCCAAGGGCACGCTGGTCATTACTTGCCACAGGCAGCAGAGCTGTCCCAGGTTCTGGAATTCTCCTTACACTGCACTCCCTCTTAGCAACTATATTCACTGTCAGCTTCTATCGATTACATTTTTGCATTTTTTTTTTCAAGGAACTTTCCAAAGGCTTTACCCTAGGACTAATTAAGCTTCTCATTTCTCCTTCTTGTTCTCTATCCGTTTCGCCCTTTAGCAGAAAAGAAATGGTTTACAGATGAACCGGATAATGCCTATCCCAGAAACATTCAAATCAAGCCCATGAGTACCCACATGGCTAACCAGATCAACCAATATAAATCCACAAGCAGCTTGATCCCACCAATCAGAGAAGTTGAAGATGAATGTTGACTTCCAGGAGACCAGAACTCTTTTTTTAAAGCCTGACAAACTTCATAAATGGTGATGTGACTTTTCTTCCTCTTACATGCTGAATCACTGGTGGAAACGTTAGGATAAGCGAGAATTGCAAGAAAAATAAAGTAGACAGATCTTTCTCTTTGTCTGCCTTGAATATTGCTTCCATGTATTTTGGAAAAGAAAATGATTTCATTTATAAATGAACATATTAAAATAGTCATGTATAGCCTCTAGCATTTTAAATTATTTTTATTTATTAGAAAGAAAATATATTTTTTCTTTTTTTTTCATTGTCAAATATCTTCCCTGTATCTAAACAATGCAAAATCAAAATGAGTAAGTGGCCAGACTCCTTAATATGTATTTCTCTTCTTTCTGTCTTTTTCTTTGAGGAGAATGATGGTCACCACCACAATTGATCGTAATGAAGGCAAATGGATTGCTAAAACAATTTTAAAATGGTCCAATGATGTAAACATGTATTTTAGTAAATTCATATAAGAAGACAAAAGGGGGCAGGTGAATTTCCTGGATGGGTGTGTATTTTAGCTGCACTGACACCAGCTCTTAATAAATGGAAACTTATTTATTTTCACAGTTGAAAGTCATATTTTTGTAGTTTTAGTTTTCATTCTGTATTTCTCCTCCCTTTGTTCGTATATTTAAAGGGAAGACCTTCTTGCAGCTTTGCTACAATTGCCAGATCAGGTTTATCCAGCCAACTAACGATGCCAGGAGGGGCGTGAGCACGCCTGGGACGTGGAAGTTGAGGACCAGACGCACACAAGATATTGCTCTGTTTGTTGTTCTGATGGTGGGGACTCCTCCATGCTGTTATGCTTCCCATTCCCTATCTCCAAACCACCTGCGCAAGTACAGTAATTTCAACTCTGGGAGGCTCTGGTGGGCTTTCTCCCCACTCCTCAAATCTCAGAGCTTCTAGCCTGAAAGTTTGTGAACACCAGTGGGTAGTTCCACTTAATAATAGGATATGATAATGCAATCATTCTTTTCACTGAGTTTTTGTTAAAAAGTCAGAACATTTTCATGATCAAAGAGACTACTTTTGCCCAGATTTTATTTTTTCCAGCCTTCCTTTAGTTGCTGGGACAAAACACACAAACTAGCTGCGACAGTGTAAAACATAATAACGACAAAAGGAAAGCAATGAATGCGCTCAATACAGACTGTTAGAAAAGGCCTTTGAAAATGACCAGCAATGAAATCAAATGTATCAGCCACTTCCAACTGTGCTCAAAGATTTTTCTAGCCATCAGACACAATTATCAAGTCTCAGAGCTCTGCTGTGGCTTGCATGCTCTCTGTCCCAGCAACTGTTACGTTCCAAACGATTTAGCAAATCTTTCAACTTCAAAATGATCAATCTTTTATACAATCATCAGGGTCTATGAGAAGCATGGATGTGATAGTGATTTTTCTTTTCTTAAAAATGTCAACTGTGGACACTCAAAGAATTCAAACTTACTAAAATATCCCCCAAAGTCCCATGGTATCTATTCCATTAATTCTTTAGGCCATGACCCTGTGGTACTTAGTACATTAGTGCAAATCAGATCAGAGCCAAGCAACAAAATCACCATGAAAACATATGTCCACTAAGTACTCCAATTACCAGTGTAGGCAAAATGGCTTCCACCTCCGTCTATTCCCTGCAGAACCAATGTAGTTGTGCTTCCGCCTTGTAGGCGCCGTCCTGAAGTGACTTGTCAGACTGTGGTTACCCTGTCGTCACATTTTGTAGAACTAGTTCTATAAAAAGTATTGTGAATATAATGTATGTCCAATTGGATTGTTTAAAAACTACTTATAACCAATCACTAGTCTACACAGCAGACTAAAATGACGTCAGCAGTCTATCTTCAGGCTTATGAATATTTCCTGGTTTCCAACAGAAGTAGAATGGGTTTGTGGGGAGAATCCCTTGTGAGGATTTTACCACTTTCCTGAAAGCTATGCCTTCTTCTACATAATGATTTTGCATTGGGGTCACCTTAGTACATTCACAGCAATCCACGCTCTTCTTTCCTTCATGAACCTTGGTGGACTCTTCTTCACTCTTCTTCCTGATAACCATTTCTGAATTTGTTATAACTGGTATCCTATGGGGCAGGTAATGGTGGCCACCTAAATGATCTTTCCTTAGGGAAACACAGTGTCCCATGCATTATTATTTGACGGCAAGAGACGCCTGGGACCAACCCAGGATCTGATTTATGGATGACTGACTGACGCGTGCGTGCGTGCAGTGTGCAGTGCGTGCAGTGCAGTGAGTGCTGTGCCAGTGACCGTCTGCCTGCCGCCTGCCGCCGCTGCTGCCGCCTGCCGCCGTTTTTCGCCGCGCGCGCGTGCTGTTGCCGTCGCCTTTTTAGTGCGCGCGCAAAGTGCCTTTTTTCCCCCTTCCCCTCCTCTACCCTCCCCTCCCTTCCTCTCCTCTCCTCTCCTCTCCTCTTCTCTCCTCTCCTCTTCTCTCTTCTCTTCTTTTCTTTTCATTCAAGTATAGTTGAAAGAAATTTTTTCTCTTGACCAAAATGGCTAAGATGTTTCCCACCAGCAAAGAGCTGCCCCCAAAAACTAATTGGCAGGAATCTATTTTTTCTTCTAAGGTAGAGCAGCAAGCTCATGCAGTTTTGCTTTTGCAATAATGAACTGTTCTCAAACAGAAAATAAAAGCAAGCTTTACTTTTTTATTGAGAAAGTGTGCAAAGTGACTGGTTGGTGGCTCCTTTGGCAAAGACTGGTGCCTAGTAGGTTAAAAGTGACACAAGAACAGAAACAAGATTGTATGACCACTGAAGGGCTCAAGCCAATGCTAGAGCTTCCTGATTAGTTTCTATGGGTTGAGCTCTCTGACTGGGAAGAGGTCATCATTCTACCCCACTGTGACAAACCCACTCCCACATTTTCTGATTAAATTATCAGCAGCCAATGATAGTCATCATTGGTGCAGTCTGTCTTGTAAGACTATGATCTCCCATCCCAGTTTAGGGTTCCAGAAAAGTCCTTTACCCAAAATAAAGACTCTTGGGTGCTTTGAGAATCAAAGACTCACCAAGAGGCTATTTTAAAACCACCTATTTATAAAACGTCATCACCACCATCATCTTTCTTATTAAGAAAACTTTTATTTTCATCTAAGCAATTTTATATTTAAAAATATCACCTTGAACCAATATAAAGTACTTCAAATGTAAGTGATTGTGACTAAGGCATGTTGGGGGACACCCAGAGCTTTTCTTTCCAAAGGTTGGGCATCTTATGATGTATTTTGTGCAAAACTTTATTGAAAACTTTAAAAAAAACAGGGAATTAGAACTGTTCAGTTAGGATTGGAAAGAGGGAAATTGAGAAAACATTAGAAAATTGGGAATGTTTTCTTTTTTAATATTTTTATGTATTTTGAGAGACAGAGAGAGAGAGAGAAATAGAACAAGTGGAGGAGGGGCAGAGAAAAAGGGAGAGAGAGAATCCTAAGCAAGCTCTGCACTGTCAGCACAGAACCCAGATGCAGGCATCCATCTCTTGAACCATGAGATCATAACCTGAGCTGAAGTCAAGAGTCAGATGCTTAACCAGCTGAGCCACCCAGGCACACCTAAAATTGAGGTTGAAAAGAGAGAAAAAGTGCAACTTCCTTTCTTGTGGTTTAATATGAGTACTCAAGAACTATATCTACAAATAACCAGCTATGTGAGAATGTTCTTGAAACCCCTGGAGTCCCAGTGACCTCATTTGGAAATGAGAGAGATTCATCCAAATGGCCTCCCTTCCAGGTCTGGGAAGCTGTGAGCTTGCTTGGGAGTGGGAGCGTGGGAACAGCCTGTGGAGACAATCTTGTGCTGGAATGACGGTCCTCTTGCTGCAGTACTCAAGTGATACTCCTGCGAGTAGTGTGCAGTTTCTGCTCTAGAAACGTGGAAATTAAGTTCATTCCTCATTCCTCCATCTTACAGTTTGGAGTCTCCTTAGGTTCAAATGCAATTTCAGACTTCAAGTTCTCTTGGGTCATGGTGTGGTCCAGACTTTTCTGTGTGTTCCCAGGGTCTTCTCCATCTCATCCCTACCTACCTTTTCTCTTGGCACCAGGCTCAAGTTCTAGTCAATTCCTTCATCTCTAACCCATCTCTCCACTTTTCAATATGTAGTGACAAGCTCTGACCCCTGGATTTCTGGGATTTTTCCTCATTTTTATTTCCACAAGTGGATCTGGGCTTTAGGAAGCAACTGTCTCACTTCTCACTTCATTTCCTGTCCTGTTTATTTTATTTCTTTTCTTCCATCTTAGTATTCCTTTCTTGGTATACCATCTCTGTTACTTACATTCATAAGTCTAATTTTGATCTATCATTCTTAATTTTCAATGAGAATCTCAGTAAAGGAAGAAAGGAAGGAAAGAGCAAAAGGAGGAAGAGAGGTAGGAAGACAGAGAAAAAAAGAATATCAAACCAACTGATTTGAACATGAGCCACCTTACTCATAGAAGAACAAGCAAATCCACTCAACTTGGACATGGTGGTCCATTGCAGAATCTGTCAGTTTTCTATTCAGTCCCTAAAGTCTGTTTTCTATTCTGTTCCTCTTTGTAGCTTTTGGAATGATGGTAAAATCACCAATCACTGTGGTCTTTGAAAGGGACTTTTTTATTTAGGGCTTGACTCATCCTCTTTAAAAAGCAAAGGGAACTGAGGTTTCATTTGAAACTCACCTGGTAAATTCCCTTTCTGCTCCTCCCCTACTCACCCCATGTTCTCAAAGTACATTTATTTTTCTATTCAGCATAGATGATTTGACACTCAAATCCCATGGTCATGTAAGGCAGTGATACAGCCCTTTGGATTTGTTA